CTCTCTCTCTCTCTCTCTCTCTCTCTCTCTCTCTCTCTCTCTCTCTCTCTCTCTCTCTCTCTCTCTCTCTCTCTCTCTCTCTCTCTCTCTCTTCTCTCTCTCTCTCTCTCTCTCTCTCTCTCTCTCTCTCTCTGCAGTTCTCTCGCTCGCACGCGCTCTCTCTCTCTCGCTCTCTCATATATTCCACTCCAACTTTAACTCTCCTTTATTCGCACGCTAATATATTTCATATATCATCAAATTAGATTATTTATTACTTATTGCTTAATTCGTTTATTATACGGACGTGTTGCATATGTGGGGGCTGTGTAGTCTAGGCCTCACGTAGACTCACATTGCACCCTTCGTTGCCACCCACCTGTTCTTATATGACCCACATCTAACCGAGATAGAATTTGATTAATCGCTCACATAGAAATCAGCATTAACGTAATATTTCTCCGAAATCTCTTGGCAACCGATCTGCATATCCGCCATGGGGCTCCAATGAAAGTTGAAACTCCCACTGCGCTTTCGCAAAACCTTCTGGAGTTTTTTCCGTTGTTGTTTTTTTCATTTCGAGCCGCGACGACGTAACGCGCCCGGCGCGCGTGCGTGAGGCTCCAGTTGCCATGACGACAATTAACCACAAGGTGTGTGCAGGCGCATTAGGGTGACATCACCGCGCCCGTCTCGCAGAGCAAACTAGTTCACGAATTCCGCTCATAAATTTAACGACCTCCTCTGATTAGCTAGAATTTGATTGGTTGATATAAATACATCCTGTTGAGTGTTGCCAATGCCTTAGAGTGTTGCCAATGTAGAAATGTAGGCCCCAAGTAGGCCTTTACGAGTACTAATTGAATTTAAATTTAAATTGGCATCCCTGCAGCATGTACATGTATTGTAATTTGTACATATGCGCTACATACACGTTCCAGAAACGGCATCATATTTGGGTTAATTCGCTCAAAAAGCGCCCAAAAACTACGTTGTTTTAAAGAAAACATGCTAATAAAGAACCATAACCTAACTTACACAAAGTTCGGGAAAGTTTTTAGTACATAATTCTGGATTTTGTTCACCATATTCGCCAAATTGACAAGTCATGGAGGCTGACATCTTGGATTCGTATTAGTATTACCCAATCAAATTCCAGCCAATCAGAAGGTTTCTAACTGTTAGACCATTTGGGGGAAAAAATTTCGCCTCCCGCCTACCCTCCCTCCTGCTTCCTCTCTCCCTCCCCCTCATCCCGCCCCTTCCCCTCCCCCTCCCCCTCCCACTGCCCCTAGCAATGTTGTTAACAGAGAGAGGCACGTGGCGAGGCTGAGAAAAAAACAGAAAGCGAAAACCGGGTCACGGCGCTAGCTGCCGCATAGCGACACGTCACTATGTCTCTCTCTCTCTTTCTCTCTCTCTCTCTCTCTTTCTCTCTTTCTCTCTTTATCTTTTTCTCTCTCGCGCTTT